ACCACCGTTGTGGATGCTTCAGTATCAATTCTCATGTAACTCAATACATACACATATCATAAATAACTTTTTTAGGCTAACGTCCCGAAATTGAACAAGAAAATTATGCAAAGTTGTTTATCAGTCAACGTACACACGTTCTCTCGTATTCAAAGTTTGCACAAATTCGCGCCTGTTTGATAAAGTCACTTAATACTTAAAATTATTGGATTAAATATTTTGTCATATCAGCATGTTTGATAACAAAAATTGAACCTCTTAATGAATTAAAAAGTGCTGAAACTGTAGTAAAAAATACAAGTAATAAAAGTTAGTTTGTTGCTTATTCCTTAACTGTTTAATGAATTCAGTATTTCTAATTTAATATTAAACATTCAGAATTAAGCAATAAATTTTATAAAACAGGTTCTAAATTTTCAGAAAAATTGGCGGATCTACCCAAAGCTTTATATGCGTCGTCAATTCTACCCTATTCTTTTTCGGTTAGCCAATATTACCCTAAACTATCCAACCGTTAGCCGATTTTGTCCAATTTGCTATTTTTCGTCTAAATTAAGGGAATCTTATTTGTTTTAATTATAAAAACACCCTAATAGTTTTAAAAATTTATAAAAATGACCCTAAAAATTTACAAAAATTATGAAATAGTTTATTTTCAGTTTTTATTTAAAATTTTCTGTTTTTTATTTCTTTTTACTATTTTTTTATAACTATAAAAATATACTATATGATCTTTTAAAAAAAATATTTATTTTTAAACTTTAATGTACAAATTTTTAATTACATATTTGTATGTCATGTTTGATTTACAAAAGCATATTAATTTTTTAATAATATGGTTTTACAATAATGATACTATTTTTTAATCCATTTTTTCAATCTAAAGAATAAGATTATTTAATTAATACTAATTTTTCACAAAAAAATTAAACAATTCGCATAGATTAAAAAAGAATCTATTTGTATACTTTAATGTATTACAATTTAATTCAACTGACTTTAGATTGTATTTTAAAATTTAAAAAGAAATCAAAACTAAAATATAAATTTTTTTAAAAGGCCAAGTACAGACAGAAAATAAAAAAAAAACACCTATTTCGTTTCTACGTTGGCCCAACACAAGAATATAGTGTCGTGGCATTTACAAAAATGGTACAATATATTTTATAAAAAATATGTATATTTATTACTGCGAGGGTTTAACATTTTGTGATAATGTTTTGAGAATTAATATACCTAACTTTAGTAGGAAGTCTTTTTTTTAAAAAAAAAAAATTAATAAAAAGAAATCTACTCCAGTATTGGACTCCACCTTTATTTTACATTAAAAAAAAAAAGATTTCTCCAGTGAGAATCGAACCTCGAACACAGTTTTAATCATCTCATATCTTAAATCACCTAACCATCTAATGCAACCCTCTTACCTTTAGTGGACTCCGCTTAAATGTGGGTAAAATCACTCTCACGGTTAGAAATAATTTGGTGACAATTAATCTTATATCTACTCTCATGAAACTTAACACCATAAACACTAGACAGTTCCCTATATTTTAATTTAATATTTTTTTAATTGGATAATACAATCTATAGTCTGTTTAGTTAATTTGCAATAAATTAAAATGTACTAATATATATTTTTTTAATCTATGTTAAATGTTTTTTTTTTGTAAAAAATTAGTTTTAGTAAAAAAAATCTTATTCTTTAAATTGAAAAAGACGGATTAAAAGAATAATATCATTATCGTCTAGCCATATTATTAAAAAAAATTAATATGATTATATAAATCAATCATGAGTTACAAAATGTATATCTACAAATTTGTACTGTAGTGTTTAAAAATAAATTATTTATTTAAAAGACCATATAGTATATTTTTATCGTTATGAAAAATAGTAAAAAGAAATAAAAAAAAGAAAAATTTAAATAAAAACTGAAAAGAGACTATTTTGTAATTTTTGTAAATTTTTGGGATTCTTTTTATAAAATTTTAAAACTATTAGGGTGTTTTTATAATTAAAATAAATAGAATTCCGTTAATTTAGACGAAAAATAGTAAATTGGACAAAATTGGCTAACGGTTGGATAGTTTAAAATAATATTAGTTAACCGAAAAAAATTAGAGTAGAATTGACGACACATATAAAGTTTTGGGTACATCCGCCAATTTTTCCCTAAATTCTCTTTTAAGGTCCACAATATTTGTTACTCCTTCCTTACCGAAAAAGAGAGAATCATGTAATTCATATAGATTTATTGTATCAGAATAAATTCCATAACTCTGCATGACTTTTATTGTGGGTAGAAGAATTGTTTGAACAAATAGGTGACAAGCTCTAGGCAATAGCCTGTAAACCACAGTGAGAGGTAACCTACTCTAGGCAAGCCCGAGGTGACAAGCTCGGGTGCGAAATCGAAGATTAATGAGTGAATTTGTCATAACAAGTCCTCTAGAGGTGCCCATTGACAAGGTTAGAGCCACATCTCATTTTTGTTGGAATGGGAATTTGAACTCATGACCTCTTCTTGAGAGTAAGGGTAGTTTTACCACTGAATCAAAATTTTATTCGCAGTACTCTTGTGTTTTTCTACTATGATTTTTTGAATTTTTTTTTTCTTGTTCCTCTTTCATGTTTCGGCAAAATAGAATAATATCACCCGACCCCTCCCCTGATGAACCATAATGTTAATTGTTGATAACATTGTGTATTTAGTATTTTTTTCCCCTCTCAAATCATACTTTCATGATTTTTAGTTGTGTTATATTTTACGCAAACGGCATCCTTTGTAAAGGTTATAAATAACACTTGTTATATTATAAATATACCACATAATTCTTCTTCTAGAGGTTCAAATGTGTCAGTTTTGACAAAAACACAGATTTTAAATTTTGGTGAGGGAGTTCTTGCCATTAATTGGTTTATTTTCTCAATTATATTTTGGTGATAATTGATAGTTCCAGTTTTTTTTGAAAAAAACTTTTAGAAAATTGTGAAAGATGATGATGATGATGATCAAAATAATCAAATACATCATTTTCGGTTGGGTTAGTGGATGATTATGTTGTCACCATGTCATCTTTCCGACTTGCGAGTAATTCTATTAATGATCAAATTATCAAAACACGCACGTTTTTTAATTTGGTGGCCTGATTAATTGTAGCTGATCGCATTTCATCTTTAACTCTATTTTTCCTTCGTATATTACGGTATCGACCGACAACAATGCTGACTAAAATATACTCCATCTGTATCAAAATAATTATTCACTTTGAGTTTTGATTTTTAATTTATTTTCTACTAAAATTAAAAATCTAAATTGGATAATAATTTCAGAACAGAGAAAATACATACTAGTAAATAATTTATCAAATCACCTAAATTTAATTTAGTTACATTTTATTCAGAAACTTTTAAGTTGTTTGTGGTTTATTATTATGGTCATAAAATAGTTTTAGTTTATTAAATTTGGCCTTTTTGTTTTTCTCTTTCTTTTTTCCTTCTTTACGACAAAAAAAAAAGGCTGGAAAAAGCTTGTTCAATTTGCGTCGGTGATCGGTTAAAATACACGATAGCATGTCTAGTCCAAAACGTAGAATTAGGCAATCATGCTTCCCTCTCGACCAACTCTTTGATGTGTTAAAAAATAAAAATAAAATTGAAAACTTGTAATTTTGAAAATTCTACTCCTTCTGTCCCAAAATTATTGTCTACTTTGAGATTTCACTTTTAGTACAATTTAAATTAAAAATAAAAACCCAAACTGGACAATAATTATGGGACGGAAGGAGTATTAGACAAATGGAATTTATTTGCGCCCAAAATTGTTGTCGTCAATGATTCAGTAATGACTATCCACAATAGAGTTCATTTAAATTTATTAATGGCAATTAATGAAGATTATTTGGTACATATTCTAAGTGGGACACTAAATCTACAGATATAGGTCGTCGACTATTCAATAATAATCACTACAATTTATTGACAAAAATGAATACATATACTCTCATTTATATTCCATTATTTACTTAACGGCAATTATAGTAATCACTTTATTAATTAGGTTTGTGTTTTACTTAGTAAGTTCAATTTTATCTTTGGCAGCTTATGCAAACACAGAGATTTAAGTCATTTATTGCTCTTTATTAATAGAGACGTTAAAAGAATTTAAAATGAAATTAGATAGTGAACTATGGGAGATTATGACTTTTATTTTTTAAAAAAGAAAAATATGGAAGAAAATCTAGCATACACTTGTATAGTTGTATTTGCATGCGTGCCACATGTATCAAACAATATTCAATTTTTACTTGTTGAATATAAAATTTTGTGTGTCATATTTACGTTTTTTTAAGGGGGAAAAAGCCCCCTTGTAGTATTTCTTTTCTTTCTTTATTATGGGAAAATTGCTGAAAGAAAATAAAATAAGGAGGAAAATTTGCGTAATTCGGTGATCGGTTAGAATACACGATTGCAAGTCTCATCCAATACGTAGAGGCAGGCAAGAAAATGCTGTTGCTTTTGACCATTTTGATGAAATGCTAAGCCAAAATGCCAAATATCAAAATTAAATGTATAGCTTTGAGACAATACAAAATATTCAGTACAAACATTGTATGCTTTATTATTATCCTCCACCAAATTCAAATCGGATCAGGATATGCTTCCCCCTCAAATTTCACCATCATATTATATTAATGGACATTGATTTGGGAAATCTTAGGGTAGTTTTAGATCCATTTTGCTGCATATTCATTCCCCAACATATTTCTTGATGGCAGGGAGTGTAGTGTATTCTACTACGAGGAGAATATTGTCTCATTCATTTAAGCTTGATTGTTACTTCAACGGAAAATATTATTATCGGGAGAAATGATGCGAATGTCAGTTAGAAATGATAAATGGTAGGGGGAAAAGAAAACGAAAGCAAATTCTGAGCTCCAGGTAAACCAGAAAGATTTTCAAGTGAAATGAACAGAAAAAATTCACAATGGAACTGAAGGGAAAAAAGGGTTTTCATTAGTACCATTACAACCAAGGATCGTTCTCATGACATTTTCCCCTTCATTTTTAATTGTTCAGAAACAAAAGGAAAGGTACAAAGGACAGACGGACTCTAGACTTACACTGACCAAACCAAAAACTGGATTCGACTCAAGGGAAATGGAAAGACCGAAAGCAGACTCTAAACTTGACTGACTTTAACACAAAAACATACATTTCACTAAGCTTCCAATTACAATCAACTAGATTCTCACGATTTTATTTTCCAGAAAGCAAGACGACAAAACAAATTAAAATGGCAAATGTTTAACGGGGCTGCTCCATCGGCACACAGTCGAATAGAACACCATCCCATCCCTCCACAGCTTTCTTATTTCTCCTGGAATACAATCACAATCATAACATAATATTATATACAAATCAGACTAATGAAGAAAAAAAGGAATACAAAAACAAAAAGAAAAAAGAGAAAAAAAATCCGAAAAGGATAAACAGAAGGGGGAAATGTAACTACACCTTTGGTTCAGGCATTTCGCGAACCTTGTACCTTTCTGCAGAGACCTCAGAGAGCCAGGCACCAGGAAACAGTGCCTGCAACAAATAATATCATTATCTAATCTGAATCCTGAACTTGTAATAAAAGCTCAAACATACATAAATAAATCCTGATCTTACATCAATTTGCTTTTGAATAGGCTTTGATCTTTTCTTGGGCTTCCGCGGTGGCTTTGCCCCGGTCATCACAAGAAAATCTTCTTCAATGTCAGCTTTGGAAAGTTGGACCGAGAATTTGTTCCTTCGTGGCTCCCTGCCACCATTGGTCTCCCCCTTATCAGATGCCAACAAGCTCTTATACCCTCTGTCATTCATCCACATAGGCCAAACAGTTTTACCACTCTCATTTGTAGTCTTACCCATCCCCCCACGATTGCGCAGATTCCAACGAACTTCTGCAGGTTTTGGCTCCTCCACTTTGTCCTTCCTTTTCTCATCAACAAAATGGATTTTCTGACCGTCAATGCAAACAACGAGATCCTTATATAGCTTTCCACTAACAGTTTTAACTTCGTCCATGCACCCGTCAGAGGTGGTGGAGGTGATTGCAGATTTCCCTTTATCAGCTCTGGGGGGACTAATTGGGTTAGTGGTCACAGGCCTAGCTGGGGATCGACGAGAAACAGTGATGGGTGATCTAGATTGCTGGCTAAGAACATTAGCAGAGAGAGTGGGGACATTGCGGGGGGTGGAAGACTGGGTTCTGACACAACGCAACTGTCTCTGATTGCCCCAATTCAGAGATGGAAGAGTAAAGTTATGAAGAGGCCTTGAAGATGAGCCAGTTCTCTCATTCTCTCTCTCAGGAGTATCAGCCATTTTTAGACACCCTAACAATTCACAACACTCAACCTCTGTCTGTGGGACTCCCTATATCTAAATTGGCTTGTGTTCTGAGGTGAGGCTCTACCTCTGGTATATAAAGAGAGGCATATTGAAAGAGGCACAGATGATGACACAAGAAAAGTAAATCTGATTACAACTTTTTGAACGGTTGTAATTAATTTGAGAGACTTTCTCTTAGATTCATAGCGGTAACTATTGGACTTTATTTATGAGTAGTTGGCACCTTTGTCGTTCTCACTAAGCGTTACTCTAAAGGAGCGGAAAAGAGGGTCTTGAAGATAACGTGCAATAGCATCAGGATAGATGAGCAATGAAAACAAGAATGAATTTGTTAGTACATTCGGTTTATGGGGTTGGGGGGTTGTGGTCAAAGTACAAGTGAACGACTACACTTTTATGAGTTACTCACTGCGAGAAGGAGAGAGAACTCACCTTCAGTTTCACTTTCAAATGACATCACAACCTTTAATTCCAGATCTTTTTCTTTTTTTTGGGGGGGGGGGCACCATATTTGTTCAGTTACGGAACTTATTAATGACAATTTAATACGTCAAAGTTCGAAAGAAATCTATTTCTATTCAAATATATCGAAGAATCATTTCACATTAGTCAAATTTTCTAGAAATATCATTGCTTACTACTTCACACTATTTGATAGATTTAACGACTATCACACGGCTATGCACTTCAAAACTATAAGACAACACAAGATGAACATTTATGTACTAGTAAGATTCATACCCACAAGCGTAGATACATTTAATCCAGCAACATTTGGTAGCGATTCTTCTAGAATACTAACCAAAAGCTCTAAATGGACACTCAATTTCTTACGATTTCAAGGGGTAAGTATGCAATATAGATAAATGCCTTCTTAGGTGTTTAGAACTTTTTCTCCTAGGATATATGCTGATGATATTGAATTTAGACTCCATTTTGGGTAAAGAAAACTTTCTTATGGTAACTCTAAGAAATTCAATGCATTCATGACGCCAACTGTCTACTTCACAAAATTTGTGAACAAAGACTAGTCGTGATTTCCTCATCTTAATTGAAGCCTGCCCTCAGTAGGCAAGGGAGTGGGAAGTTAAACAAAATACTGAACTTTCACCTTAAATGATTTACCAGTAAGTTACTGGCTCTCAGGATCATATCACAACCATAAGGTGTTATACTAATGTACTAACTGCCTAGCCTCCAAGAGTAGGATGAAAATTTCATTCATAATGCTCTAGTTTCTACTCTATCAAAATCGTGAATATAAAATCAGTCATGATTCACTTTGGGCGTGCTGTCAGTAGCCAAAGGAGCAAGGAGCCAACTCGACTTTCACCTGTTACAACACAACAATATAATGGTCGGTACAAAAAGCAATTTGAGCATGTCCTCTATGGCACTAAGTAGCCATTTGGGGTTGAGCCACAAATGTAACCCTAATCTTAATATTCTACTTTTTAAATTAGTGAACACAAGACTCATCGTAATGTCCTATCATAAGTAATTTCTCCCTCTGTCCCAAAGATTGTCCCATTTAGATTTTATATTTTTAGTACAATTTGAACTAAAAAAGAAAATCCGTACTGGACGATCATTTCGGGACGGAGGGAGCAGTTAACTAATTCTTCATCCTAATGCGGCGATCAACAAAGAGAAGAGACCAATTTGAAGAGCAGTCTCAGTAGGCTAAGTAGTGATAAAAAAGGGGACATTTAACCAGTTAAATTATAGAAGTGGGTGACGATGAATGTACATCATTCAAAGTGAAAAACAGTTTTAACATGTTCTTTATAGCACTTAGTAACTTTCCGCATAAAAACTGAGACACAAATGTACTAATAATGATCAAAACCCTACTCTGCAAAAGTAGCGGGCACAAGCCCCACCGTGATTTCCTATCACAATATCAAATTGTAAACCCTAGATTCTAGTGTAGTATGAACACAGAAAAGTGATAACCTTGAGGGCTGTTTTCACCAGCAGGTGTAGTGAGAAGATGAAAAAAAAAAAAAAACTGAATCTTTTTCCTGTTAGAACATAGAACTTGAGGATTCTACCTCTACAGGTGGACCCATAGAAGAAAAATCAATTGTAATTAAACAATATAGCAAACATCAAGAACCCTCCCTTGACCTACACGTTTCCTACTAACATTCATACATCAAATAGGAATAGTGATTTCAATCTTAAAGGTCGAGACTTTATAAAATCTAAAATAGCAGCAGAATATAAAATCAAAGATTGTATAAGCCCATCACAAGACAATATCTTGCTAAACAAACTACAAAAGGGATAAACACAATGCCATTAGCGAAGAAAGGATCTGAATTACCTTTTAGCAATTGGGCAAGGAAAGCGCCTTATGACGATCAACAGCAGCGCCGAAAACAACTCTTATGCCTAATTCATCAGTGAACCTGAAATGCTCTCTTTCGCCCCATCTTTGTAGAAGAAAGATATTCCAGCCTTCTAAGTGACTTTTGACACCAAATCGTGCGATCGTTGTGCATCCCTCATCACTTCTAGCACTGCTTTTGTTGAAAATACGGTGAAATTCTTTCCATATTTCTCTAACAGCTCAGATTTCTGCACCATATTAATCAGTATCAAAGAAGTTGATTGTGGCTTGCGGAAAGGAGGAGAAATGGGAGAAACACTGAAACAGAGAAGAGAAAAGGAGAGAATGAGAAGGCGATTTAGGATATGACTAAAAATATTTATTTATAGTGCCATCCAATATTTTGAATTTTTAGCAAAAGAACCCTACACTTCCTTCATGTGTTTAAGTAAGTCAGAAAACCTTACTTTTACCCCCACCCCTAAAAAAATAAATAAATAAAATACAAGATATCTGAGGGGCTAACAATTCAGATAGATAATTAAAACTGTATCTTTTTACTAAATAATAAAACTCACTTTTGTTATCATGTTTAAGTTTAATAGCAAAATCCTTATTTTGAGATGAAAGAGTAAATATTTTATTTAATACTTCCATTAGTTTTATATTATTTTTCTCTTAAGGTAAAACTTGTCAATTTAATAAACAAATAACTTTGAAATCAACCAACAATTCATAATAATAATTAGTTTGGACTTTGGAGTTAGTGTTATTGACAATGTCGTGAACGACAACATTTTCCAATCAAGAAGAATACAACAACATCATTAAACAACCATGTTGATATAGCAGCTGGTGAATGAATACAACCAAGCGTTGGTAAGAAAAAAAAAGAAAAGGAACTGTTTATATAACAGTGTCAGGCAATTAAGGATCATTCACCTTTTAAAGACAAAAAGTAACTCATAAGCTTTTCAAGATTCCATCTTCTGACCAAGAACTTGTTACTCCATCCCTAATCCATCCATGAGTCCAAAATGATTATCCAACTTCGATTTCATTTCTAATACTAAAAGTAAAAAATCCAAGCTGAACAACGGAGTGTCTAATAACACTACTACTTATCGTAATAAATACTAGTTAAGTCTTTGTAACAGCATATAATCTTGCAAGTCTCTGATTGCTTTTTCCAACTCTTTAGCTTAGCTTTGATTGATATGAGCATTGATCATGGCTCATTTTGATGCAATACCTTTTGTGTTCTAGAATGTCTTTTTTTTTATCCCTATTTTTCATGTTCTGGCGAAGTAGAATGATATCACTCGACCCCTCCCCTGATGAACCATATTGTTAATTTTTTGAAACGGTACCATATTGTTAATTAATCATTGATAACATTGTGTATTCAGGGCCATTTTTTTCAAATCATACTTTCATGTTTTTTTAGTTGTGTTGTACTTTATGAAAACAACATCCTTTAAAGTTTAAATAACACTCGTTATATTCTAAATATACTACATCATTCTTGTTCTAGAGGTTCAAACGTGTCCCAAAGATAAGGTATAAACGAGAAGTGAAATAAATGATTTGTATAACAAAAACACATATTTTAAATTTTGGGGAGGGAGTTCTTGCCATTAATTGGTTGTATTTTCTCAATTATATTTTGGTGATAATTCCAGTGTTTGTTTGTTTTGTTTTATTTTTTCTTTTATGAATTTTTAGAAAATTGTGAAAGACTGATGAAGGTGATGATGATCAAATACATCATTTCGGTAGGGTTAGTAGATGATTATGTTATTACCATGTCATTCATATTTCCCAGAACTTCTATAAATGATCAAATTATCAAAACACACATGTATTTCAATTTGGTGATCTCATTTCATTTGGTAACTCTATTTTTCTTTCAAATGTAAAAAAAAACTCTATTTTTCTTTCATATATTACGGTATCGACGGACAACAATGCTATATAAAATTATACCACTAAACAATTTATCAAATCACCTAATTTAATGTTAAAAATATGTTCCATCTCCTAAATAATGCAAGATTAACGTACTTAATTATATTTTATGCAAGAACTTATAAATTGTGTGCTGTTAATTATTATGGTCACAAAATAGTTTAAGTTTATGAAGTTTGACCTTTTCATTTTTTTTCTCTTTATTTTTCTCTTTTTACAAAAAAAAAAGGCTGGGAAAAAATTTGAGAAAATCTTGTTCACGTTGGTGATCGGTTAAAAATACATGATAGCATGTCTGGTCCAAAACGTAGAATTAGGCCAATTCTTATACTATAGACCATGGTCATGGACCATGGTGTGAATACACTTGCATGTGAGGGTAGTAAAAATTAGAAAAGATACAAAGTCTGGACTCAACTAGATCAAACATATTCAAAATATTTTCACGAGATCATTATCTAAATCCAAAATTTTAAGATTTGAAATAGAGATCTGTTCGAATCTATTATGCCTAATCTAAATCTACTTTGACTCCATTGTTAGAAATATAATTTCAAATCCCTCTTCTATTCTGAGATTGATTATCTTTCTAATTTAGAGAAGATGGAGACCGGTCACAGAGGCTTGCCGTATTTAGCCACTGCTATTGTCAAGACTGTCATTGCCGGGAAAAAAAAAATCAAAGGCACAGATTTATTATTTCTGCCGTTGCCGCCTAGACTATGTCACCCCGTAGAAAAATCAAAATCATAGCTTCTTTAATATGCCACTGCCGGAAAAAAGAAAAATCAGAAATGGGCATTCGTTATCGGCAATGATTGCGGCTTCTATTTTCTAATTTTGTTCTTGAATATATATTTTTGTATTGATTTTAATATTATTTGCTTGTTATTTACGTGATTTTTGTAGTATTTTTTATTTTTTACTAATGGATGGATGATTATATTTGTTTGAAGCTCATTTGAAAGTAAGATATATTTTTTTTTTGAGGAAAGTAAGATATTGTTTATACATAATCATTAGTTTTTTTTTTGAGTACATAATCAGTAGTTTTTAATGTGTCCTTCTTTCTTACTTTGTTTATTGTTTTATTAGTTTTTGTTCATATAATATTGGCTTTGTGTTCAAATGGCCATATCATTAACTTAGTTTAAAATTCATACATTTATAGTGGATGTTCATATGATTTTTATAAATGTTTGCATATATAGTTTGTCCAACTTATAATAGAATATCAAAGGTTAATCAAATAGCTAAAGTTCATACAAGGATTAAAATGTTCTTAGTTATGCATTGATACATGGTTTTGTTGCATTAATCTAGACTTTATTCATAAAGGTAAACCGTTTTGATTAATTTTTTACCAAGAGTTGAAAATAGATATTTCATTGTTTAGTTGCATTGTTGTTTTATTTTCTTATATTGAATAAGTGTTTTTGGTTAAATTGGTTGTCTTGATTTTTAAAAGTTGCAAGGTTTGGAGGTTTGGTTGTGTACAAATTTTTTTGGCTGAAAGTTTATACTATTTTGTTTTAGAATTCATACTCATACTATTTAACATTCATATGCAATGTATTGTTTATTTTTAAGGAAAAATTTAAAGCAATTAATTATATTATGGTGCAAACCCTTTTTACAATACGTGTTTAGCGTTCAAACACAAAATCTTTAATGTTCATATGCTTAATCAAATAGTCAAAGTTACAATATTGCTGATATATTTTGCTTTCTTATATTAAAATAGTAAAGTTTTTTTAGCATTGTTTAAAGTTCATACAAATATGGTTGTTCATATAATAATGAGAAATTGTTCGTATTTAGTAATTTATTGCTTGTGGCTATTGTTTTCTCCTCACACTCACTCACTCAGTTCTGATGGGATCATTATTTCTTTTTTTGTTCAGCTAGTTAGCTAATCATGCATTTTGTTTGGATTATAAATTGAATATGCTCGTAAGGTTTATAATTTTTGTTCCCATATGTTTATATCTTTTTATCAATGTTCATACAAATATGTTCAAATATTCATACAACATTGATACATGTGACATATGACGTTTAAAACTATTTGCATCAACTTCAAACCTTACACCTTAGATGTCTATATATTTTCCTATTAGAAAACATATTTATCACACATATGATTCATAACAGGATCCATGAAGGTAATGACAAAGACAATGATGGGCAATGTACAAAGAGGTGGTAAAACCTAAAACTTTACTCAAGAACAAATAAGAAGATATTTAAGAGTCTCCAACAAATAGGGAGATAATTGTACAAGATATAACTTTACAACTTGTTCTTATTGTTTCTTTACTAGTGTGTGTCCCGCGCTTTGTGCGGCTTTGTCAATGTTAAAAATTTATATTTCAAAAGAATTGATTAGATAATGTAGTTACAAATATATCGTCCTTATTCTCTGAAAAAAATGTAGTTACTAATATTTCTTAAAACTTTAATATTTTTTGATTAATCAGTAAAGATCAAAATGAGAGGTATTGATATTATTTATGAGAGGTATATTTGTAAGATCTGGTAAAAAAATATTACAACAAAGATTTTCAAAACTTGTATAATAAAAATTGTCACCACTAACTAATGTTATGTTTGGTTTAAAAAATATATCTAAAAAATGCGTAAATTATGTCTAGATGCATATGACCTATTTTTATAGGCAAGTGGACTTTGGGGATTAGATGTAGTTCTAATAAAATATGAGACATAATTAGTCGTCCCTGAAATTGTAAAATCGATAAACTTGAAAACTAAATAGCACACAAATGGAACTTTAAGGGCCAAAATGACAATAGGTTAAAAGTTTAAACTCGTAAATGAAAGGACTTTTGAAGTCGGGAGTTTCTCAGTAATTTTCAAAAATATTCATTTTCAAGCTCACTATATACTCCCTCCGTCCCACAAAAATAGTCCAGTTTGAAACTGTACAACTTTTTTAATTTGGTCAACACACCAAATGTACAACTCATTTCATTCCCCTAACTTCCACTAATGCCCCTTCTAGTTATTTCTATAAAAGTTAACTACATATGTATTTAGTTTACAACTTAAATTTGATCAAAATTTTTATCTCAAAAAATATTGACAATTGGATCTTGATGGAAAGATCTCGTTACATAGATTAATTTGATATATAACACATTTTTTAATTATTCGTGTATTAAAAGATATAATCATTTGAAAAAATAAGAGAAAACTAAAAAAAAAATGAAAATCAAAGGAAGTAGACCTTGTTTTTCATACCACTACTCTTTTGGATATTTAAGTCATTTCAATTCAATGAATTTTGACTTTCGTTAAATTGGACTATTTTTTTAGGACAAGATTTTTTATTAAATTGGATTATTTTTGTGGGACGGAGGGAGTAGTAAATAGTTTATTAACTAGTTTACAAAAAATTTTAACTGATTAATGATCAACCAAATAGCAAATGCCACGTGTTAATTGAGACTTGATGATCTCAATGAGCGACACGTGTCGATTATCTTTCTTTTCTATAATATATAAAATGATTTGTACACTAGCTTTTGAATAGAGATATAGTTTTATCTTTATAGTTTTTATTCACTCAGTTCTATTATAAAGATTTTCAAATGAAATGAACAGAAAAAAGTGCACAATGGAACCGAAGGGAAGAAAGGCGTTATCATTGATACCATTACAACCAAGGATCCTTCTCCTGACATTTTCCCCTTCATTTTTTTTATTGTTCAGAAATAAAAGGACAAACTGACTCTAGACTTACACTGACCAAACCAAAGACTGGATTCGACACAAGGGAAATGGAAAGACCGAAAGCAGACTCTAAACTGGACTGACCCTAACACAAAAAACATACATTTCACTGAGCTTCTAATTACAATCAACTAGATTCTCATGATTTTATTTTGCAGAAAGCAAGAGAACAAAACAAATGATACGGGCAAATGCTTCATAGAGGCTGTTCCATCGGTGCAATCGAATAGAAAACATCCCTCCACAGCTTTCTCATTTGCCCTGGAATGCAATCATAATCATAACATAATATTATAGATCAGATTAACGAAAGAAAAAGGAATACAAAAAGAAAAAAAGAAAAAAAAATTAAAAGCATAAACGGAAGGGGGAAATGTAACTACACCTTTGGTTCAGGCATTTCGCGAACCTTGTACCTTTCTGCAGAGACCTCAGAGAGCCAGGCACCAGGAAACAGTGCCTACAACAAATAATATCATTATCTAATCTGAATCCTGAACTTTTAATAAAAGCTCAAACATACATAAATAAATGCTGATCTTACATCAATTTGCTTTTGAATAGGCTTAGATCTTTTCTTGGGCTTCCGTGGTGGCTTTGCCCCGGTCATCACAAGAAAATCCTCTTCAATGTCAGCTTCAGAAAGTTGGAATGAGAATATGTTCCTTCGTGGCTCCCTTTCACCACTGGCCTCCCCCTTATCAGATGCCAGCAAGCTCTTATACCCTCTGTCATTCATCCACACAGGCCAAATAGTTTTACCACTCTCATTTGTTGTCTTACCCATCCCCCCACGATTGCACAGATTCCAACGAACTTCTGCAGGTTTTGGCTCCTTCACTTTGTCCTTCCTTTTCTCATCAACAAAATGGATTTTCTGACCGTCAATGCAAACAACGAGATCCTTATATAGCTTTCCACTAACAGTTTTGACTACCTCCGTGCACCCGTCAGAGGTGGTGGAGGTGATTGCAGATTTTCCTTTATCAGCTCTGGGGGGACTAATTGGGTTAGTGGTCACAGGCCTGGCTGGGGATCGACGAGAAATAGTGATGGGTGATATAGATTGTTGGCTAAGAACATCAGCAGAGAGAGTGGGTACATTGCAGGGGGTGGAAGACTGGGTTCTCACACAGCGCAACTTTCTCTGATTGCCCCAACTCAGAGATGGACGAGTAAAGTTATGAAGAGGCTTTGAAGATGAGCCAGTTTTCTCATTCTCTCTCTTAGGAGTATCAGCCATTTTTAGACACCCTAACAATTCACAACACTCAATCTCTGTCTATGGGACTCTATATCTAAATTGGCTTATGTTCTGAGGTGAGGATCTATTGATGGTATATAATGAGAGGCATATTGAAAGAGGCACAAATGATGACACAATAAAAGTAAATCTGATTACAACTTTTTGACAGTTGTGATTAATTTGAGAGACTTTCTCTTGGCGGTAACGATTGGACTTTATTTATGAGTAGTTGGCACCTTTGTCGTTCTCACTAAGCGTTACTCTAAAGGAGCGGAAAAGAGTGTCTTAAAGATAACGTGCAATAGCTTCAGGATAGATAAGCAATGAAAACAAGAATGAATTTGTTAGTACATTTGGTTTATGGGGTTGGGGGGTTGTGGTCAAAAGTATAAGTGAACAACAACACTTTTATGAGTTGCTCACTGCGAGAAGGAGAGAAAACTCACCTTCAATTTCACTTTCAAATGACATCACAGCCTTTAATTCTAGATCTTTTTCATTTCTTTTTCTTTTGGGGCGCGGGGGGGGGGAGGGGGCACCATATCCGTTCACTCACGGAACTTATTAATGACAATTTAATACGTCAAAGTTCGAAAGAAATCTATTTCTTTTCAAATATATTGAAGAATCATTTCACATTAGTCCAATTTTCTGGAAACATCATTGCTCACTACTTTACACTATTTGATAGATTTAACGACTGTCACGGCTATGAACTTCAAAACTATAAGACAACACAAGATGAACATTTATGTACCAGTAAGATTCATACCCACAAACGTAGATACATTTAATCCAGCCACATTTGGTATCGATCCTTACTTCTAGAATACAGACCAAAAGCTCGAAATGGACACTCAATTTTGTACGTTTTCAAGGGGTAAGAACGCAATACAGATAAATGCCTTCTTAGGTCTTTAGAACTTTTTCTCCTAGGATATATGCTGATGACATTGAATCTTAGACTCCATTTTGGGCAAAGAAAACTTTCTTATGGTAACTCTAAGAAATTCAATACATTCATGATGCCAACTGTCTAGTTCACAAAATTTGTGAACAAAGACTAATCGTGATTTCCTCATCATAATTGAAGCCCGTCCTCAGTAGGCAAGGGAGTGGGAAGTTAAAGAAAATACTGAACTTTTAACTCAAATGATTTACCACTAATTTACTGGCTCTTAGGATCATATCACAACCATAAGGTGTTATACTAATGCACTAACTGTCTAGCCTCCAAGAGTCGGATCAAAATTTCATTCATAATGCTCTTGTTTCTACTCTATCAAAATCGTGAACATAAAATCAGTCATGAGTTACTTGGGGTGTGCTGTCAGTAGCCAACGGAGCAAGGAGACAACTCGACTTTCACCTGTTACAACACAACAATATAATGGTCAGCACAAAAAGCAATTTGAGAATGTCCTCTATGGCACTAAGTAACCATCTGGGGTTGAGCCATAAATGCATCCCAAATCTTAACATTCTACTTTTTAAATTAGTGAACACCAGACTCATCGTAATGTCCTATCACAAGTAAATACTTCCTCCATCCCAAAATGATTGTCCCATTTGAATTTTACTTTTTTAGTACAATTTGAATGAAAAATAAAAATCCGAACTGGACGATCATTTCAGGACGGACGGAGTAGTTAACTAATTCTTCATCATAATGCGACGATCAACAAAGAGAAGAGACCGATTTGAAGAGCAGTCTCAGTAGGCTAAGTAGTGATAAAAAAAAGGGACATTTCACCCGTTAAATTATAGCAGTGGGTGATGACGAGTGTATATCAGTCAAAGTGAAAAACAGTTTTAACATGTTCTTTATAGCACTTAGTAACTTTCTGCTTAAAAACTGAGACACAAATGTACTAATAATTATCAAAACCCTACTCTGTAAAAGTAGCAAGCACAAGCCTCGTCGTACTTTCCTATCGCAATATCAAATTGTAAACCATAGATTCTAGGGTAGTATGAACACAGAAAAGTGATAACCTTCAGGGTTGCTTTCAACTGCAGGTGTAGCGAGAAGACGAAAAAAAAAAAAAACCGAATCTTTTTCCTGTGACAACATAGAACTTGAGGATATTACCTCTACAGGTCGACCCATAGCGGAAAAATCAATTGTAATTAAACAATATAGCAAACATCATGAACTTGACCAACACGTTTCCTACTAACATTCATACATCACAATAGGAATAGAAATTTCAATATTAAAGGTCGAGACTTTATAAAATCTAAAATAGCAGTAGAATATAAAATCAAAGATTGTAAAAGCCCATCACAAAAGAATGCCTTGCTAAACGAACTACAAAAGGAATAAACACAATGCCATTATCGAAGAAAGGATCTGAATTACCTTTCAGCAATTGAGCAAGGAAAACGCCTTATGACGATCAACAGCAGCGCCGAAAATAGCTCTTATGCCTAATTCATCAGTGAACCTGAAATGCTCTCTTTGCCCCATTTTTGTAGAAGAAAGATATTCCAGCCTTCTAAGTGACTTTTGACACCAAATCACGCTATCCTTGTGCATCCCTCATCATTTCTAGCACTGCTTTCGTTGATAATGCGGTGAAATTCTTTCCATATTTCTCTAGCAGCTCAAATTTCTGCACCATATTAATCAGTATCAAAGAAGTTGATTGTGGCTTACGAAAAGGAGGAGAAATGGGAGAAACACTGAAACAGAGAAGAGAAAAGGAGAACGAAAAGACGATTTAGGGATATGATTAAAAATATTTATTTATAGTGCCATCCAATATTTTGAATTTTTCGCAAAAGAACCCTACACTTCCTTCATGTGTTTAAGTAAGTCAAAAAACCTTACTTTTACCCCCACCCGCAAAAAAATAAATAAATAAAATACAGTATATTCGAGGAGCTAACAATTCATACAGATAATTAAAACTGTATTTGTTTACAAAATAATAAAACTCACTTTTGTTATCGTATTTAAGTTTCACAGCAAAATCCTTATTATGAGATGAAAGAGTAAATATTTTATTTAATACTTCCATTAGTTTTATATTATTTTTCTCTTAAAGAAAAACTTGTCAATTTAATAAATAATTAACTTTGCAATCAACCAACAATTCATAATAATAACCAGTTTGGACTTTGGAGTTAGTGTTATTGACAATGTCATGAACCACAACATTTTCCAATCAAGAAGAATACAGCAACACCATTAAACAACCACGTGGATATAGTAGCTGGTGAATGAATACAACCAAGCGTTGGTAAGAAAAAAAAAAGTAAAAGAAAAGGAACTGTTTATATAACAGTGTTAGGCAATTAAAGATCATTCACCTTTTAAAGACAAAAAGTAACTCATAAGCTTTGCAAGATTCCATCTTCTGACCAAGAACTTGTTACTCCATCCCTGATACATCCATGAGTCCAAAATGATTATCCAACTTCGATTTTATTTCTAATACTAAAAGTTAAAAATGCAAGTCGAACAAAGGAGTGTCTAATAACGCTACTACTTATCGTAATAAATACTAGTTAAGTCTTTGTAACACCATATAATCTTGCAAGTCTCTGATTTCAGTTCGGTGTCAAATATTCTCTTAAAGACATCAAAGTTGCCAAAATTAGGCAGAGAAGGCGACAAATCATGAAGAACCTATAAGAAAATTCGAAGGTGGTTACAAATTATCATGGTAAGGACAAGCGGCACTCTGACTTGACTGATCAAGCATTCATTCAAATAGCAAAACATTATGATCTCAGAAAAGTTGAACTTAATAAACATAAAAGCATCAACTGGAAAATGCCAAAGAGTACAAGGCAACAACTAACCTCCATTGTTGAGTCTCCAAAATTCAAACTCTCGACTTTAGAATATGCCTTAACAATTTTAGCTATCTTGAGATCATTAAAGTTGGGATCTTCACCAACTGGAGCACGTAAAACTATTGAGAGGCCATGGATTTGATCAAGTTTGCTAGTGAGCGAGTAGTTCAAATCGCAGAAGGCAAAGTGGCACAAATAATCGAGCTCTGGTGTGTTTAAGACAAGTGTGGTGTCCCTATCAGTGAGGCATGACAACCCGTTGTCACAACTAGTCAAATAAATTCACCTACTTAACACTAGTATAGCGAAAAATAGGGTCGTACCCACAGAGAATAAATATTATTACCAGGTATAAATTTTCTCCTATTATTATCTAGATAAATGATGATCTCAGATTTTTAATTAAAATAAAACTAAAGCTAAAATCTAAAAGATGCAATTACTTTCAAAGGTTGAAACAATCAAGTTGGGAAAACCTAGGACATTGGGTTCACCTACCGAATATTTGGTTTGATTCGACTCATAAATATCTGACTTTTAACTTCCATTAATCTCACAACGATTCACCTAATTAACAACCACACACTCTCGTCCTATATTTCTCTTACTTAGATTAACCCTATGACTACTCTCGTGACTATAGAGATTAACAAAAGCACATTAAGACCATTAAGAATCAAACGTTGCAAAGGTTATAATCTTACTCACGTAGCTTACACCCTAAGTCTATTATTCTTACGAACTAATACTAATCTTCCACTCTACTTCGATTAGTATCTTAAGACATGCAAATTGTGGCCAATTACTTACACGGATTAAAAAAAGAATAACGGATATTACTTAATGAAAAAGTCAAATAATAATGAACCAAATAAACCAAATAAATCCGGCGGCTACATCCAAGCCCTAAGTTAAAAGAATTCAGCCACTAAACATTATCAAAAATAATTCAATAATATTTAGAGACATAATCCACACAAATCTAAAATTAAATTAAAACTCAAAAACTTGGAGAGAAAACGAGGCCGCCGAGTTGGAAGTTGGAAGACCACGGTTGTTGCTTTCTTCTTCACGTCCAAGCTGACCCTTGATGATTATAATGATCATGCGTGAGGCTGCTATGATAATAATGATTAAAGTGATGGATGGTGGCTGCATGGAGGTGGGGGGCTGATGGGGTTCGGTGGTACGTG